CCATAAGAGTATCGAAGTATGCATCCTTGCAGCATAATTAATGTAAGATCTATCCCAACTTTTACTATTAGGAGGCCCGGTGACTGGCTTGGATGTATGTATAAAGCTCCAAGGCGTGGGGTGTCTCTCGCTTTCAAAGGCATCTCCTGCTTACAAAGCGGATGTGAGATCACGCAATCCCATGGCCACACGTGCGCCCGGTTCACACGAGCAACCCATTGTCGAACAGAGTGCTCCGTTGTCGAATCATTCCAATTTTTTACATGTTCTCTCCTTTCCTTTCGTTCCTTTCTAATACTTTCGTATACATGTGTTGTATTAGAGTTAGATTTCAGTTTTGGCAAATGTTATTTATCGGGACAGTTGTCAATGTAATCTTTCTCCCTTCTAGGGTTGTATCAAGCGGCAAGGGGTGCTCTTATTATAGCTCGTTCTCGCTGAGCAATTATCTCTCATTTTTTTCATCTTCCGCATTCTTCCCTTCATTTCTGTTGCCATATTTGGCCTTTCGCTTCACTTTCATCACTAACCCTACCCTCCACCTTCACTGTTTCAGCCTCGTCAATCGTTCTTGTTGTTGTTTACCATTGTCTGACCGCCATCCATTGCTACAACCTGCCCCCACCAGCCTCTTGGTTGTTGTTTTCTATAGATGCAACTGTTGAAAACGTCTTCCCCTCCATCCTCTTTGTTGTCACCGTAGTTCCTGCCCTCTAACTATTGTTGCCACCACCTAGAAATCCCTCGCCTTGTTTTACAGCTGTCTGACTTCCGACATCACTGTCACATCCCAAAAAACAACATTTTCCCTGTTTTTAACCAACTAAACAGCCCCTCGCCCTTGCAGCCACTGCCCAAGACAGCCCATCATCTCATTGTTATGGCGGTTCCTTGCCCCCCTTTGTCTCCACCATCGCACCCTTGTTGCCGCTCCACCATCCCGCCATCCAATTGCCCATTTGCTACCTCTCCAGAGTTCCAAACCCTCGCGATAACCACCTCTAACCGAGATCTACCCTAGTTGTATGTCGTGAGTCGTGTTGTTATTATTTCCTATTTCAATGTGCGTGTATCATGTTTATAGTTATTTTCCCTTTCAAGTGTGTTAGTTATAACCGTTTATTTGTTTTCAATAATAATAATTGTTTTTCCTATTGTGGTTTAGGTTCTCTAGCATCACTCCATCAAAATAAAGCTCCCATTTTATGGCTTGTTATTTCAATTACATTGAAGATTTGTTCATCAAGAAATTCATCATTAAGATGGGAATCATCGTGTAAAGGATATGCAACTAGAAAGTCAAGCTAAAAATATTTTTCTCTCATTAAGTATCTTGTTATAGGTGAATTCATTAACAGCTTTATAAGTCTTGACAATAACTTCCAACGGACAAGTATCCTTACACCACTATGAGGTTGATCTTCAAATTGGTGAAAACTATCATTCATTCTTTCTTCAATACTATTTAGTTATTTGTGCACAAAATTTTTACCAAATTAATGTGGCAGTTTTCTTCGTATAAATTCTATTTACCTTATAGCTTCATATTCGTTCGTAGAATTCTTGTTGAATACCATATTTTGGTGACATTAAAATTATCATCTAGAATTAATAAAATGTGTTTTCTGAGTGGAATTAAAAAAAAATGCTGGCATTGTTGGGTCCCAATACCCGGATATGAAAAATGGATAGGATTGCGTTAGTTAGTCAACTGCCAGCGTAAAATTTTCAAAGAGAAAAAACTATGACATGAATCCATCAAATCACTATGTAAATGTTGGGGCGTCACCTGAAAGCAACGCTTTGTAATGCATGCATACAGTAAAAAAATTTGCAAAAGCTGCTACACCGGTTCCCGAGTATAATGTTGAATAAACAAATATTCTCACATTAGAGATGAATGGGGACAAGAAAGTTAGTCCATAAAACTTATATTAGAACAAAAATTAAATAAAGGTGCTCTCCCTGGTAAATTTATAGAATTAATAAATATTATGGTTCATAAAAAGATAAATATCTTATGCATTCAAAAAACTAATCCGGTTAGATAAAAGACTAATAAAATTATAACTTAGTTTTAATTTTTGGTATTCAATTAGGGTTTGTACTAGAATAGTGTGAGTGTAATTATAGATAAGAGTTTGAAAGATAATATTGCAAAAATAAATAGAACTTAAAATAGAATTATAGCACAAAAATTATTATTATTACTAACATTTGTAACGTTATAAGTATATATGTTCTCCAGATAGATTTGAATATATGTACAAAAGAAAATTTAGAAATGACCTAGAAGAATTGATACAAATGATACATATTGAAGAAAGAATTTTTATTGAATGAGATTTAAATGTAAATATGAGTAAAGCGATAGAAGGTTTTAAAAGTATTCATGGTAGCTATAATTTTGGAGTGGCTGATAAAAAAAATTGTCATATTAAATTTTCTTTTAATTTATGGTTTTGTTATTGCTAATATTTTATATAATTGAAGAGACAAGAATATTATCTTAAAAGAATGGATCTAATAAAAAACAAATTGATTATTTTCTTTTGAAAGAAATCGATCGTTAAGATTATAAATATTGTAAGATCATTCCAAATGAAAATTTAAGTACTCAATATCAACTTTTAGTTTAAAATTTAAAGTGAATTGTTAGAAGATGAAAATACAACAAAATATTGTCGGTGAATTAGATGTGGCATTTAAAAGACAATTAAAACTATTTTCATGAGTAAACTTCAAGAACTTAATATTTTGAGATGTCAATACAGAAGCTAACACTTTGTGGGATAAAATAACAAGTATTATTAAGCAAGTTGCAAAAGATGTACTTAGAGAAAAAAACTCCTATCAACAAAAATAATTTGTGGTGGAATAATAATATGCAATAAACAATAAAGAATAAAAAGTTATGCTATAAAAAGTAGTCTGGATGTAAAATCTTGAAGAATTAGAAAAAAAATAAAAGATGACTAGTAAGAAGCCTAAGAGAATAATTTGTTATGCTAAGAATTATTTTTTTTAATAATCTTAATAATATATTAGACATTAAAGAAAGTGAAAGATATATGTATAAACTCATCAAATAAAAAAATAAAAAAAGTAAAAGATTACTTAAAGTTAAATGTATTAAGTATGAAAATCAAGAAATGCTTTTCTTAGATAATGATACTCAACAAAAGTATGCGTGATATTTTAATAAATTTTTCAATGAATATTGTGAAAAATACGATTACAATAAAAAAATTTATTTTCGCTATCGCATTACTAAAACAGGAGTTGAAAAGGGTTTAATGAAAAATAAGTATGAAAAAATAGTAGGACCTGATAGTATTCCAATAGTATTTCTTGGCTTATAAAACTTTTTAATATTATTTTAAAAACTAAAAAAATTTCTGATGAGTGGAGAAAGAGTATATTGGTTCCTATTTTTAAGAATAAAGGAGATGCACAAAAGTGCATAAATAATAGAGGAACTAAGTTGACCTCATACATTAAAGCTATGGAAGAGAATAATTGGACATAGGTTACGACTTGATACAAAAAATTCTCAAAATTAATTTGGATTCATGTCAGACAATTCTACCATAAAAGTTATACATTATTGAGAAGTTTGATGGAGAAGTACAGAATAAGTTAAGAGAATTTACATATAATTTTTTTTTAGAATAAGTTAAGAGAATTTACATATAATTTTTTTTTTTTATTTTGAAAAAACTTATGATAAAGTTTCAAGAGAAGTACTTTGGAGAGTTCTAGAAAAGAAAGATGTTGGCATTGCTTATAGTCAAGTCATTAAAGATATGTATACTAGAATTGTTGCTTATGTTCAAACAAAAGGAGGATTAACCAAGTATTTTCCTATTTCAGTTGGATTAGATTAGATCATGGATCTACTTTAAGCTCATATCTTTCTCTTTAGTTATGAATATTTTTACTAGACAGTTACAAGACTATGTACATTGGTGTATGCTTTTCACTAATGGTATCCTTCGTGTGGATAAAACTTAAAAGAATTCAAGAAAAACTTAATTTATGGATGTCAACTTTAGAATATAAAGGCTTTCATTTATGTAGATCTAAAATTAAATGCATTGAATGAAATTTTTAGTAGTAGTACATCTAGTGGTGGGGTTGTAACAATTGATGATCAAGTCCTTTAAATAAGTGAACGTGTAAGATATCCAGTGTCTATTATTCAAAGTGATAGTGATAAAGATGAGGATGTTATTAATAGAATTCAAGTTGGATGGTTGAAGTGGAGGAATGCATCGGGACCTATTTTGTTATAAAAAAGAGCCGCATAGACTTCAAGAGATGGTGGAGAGACATGTCATGTTTTATGGTGCGGAATGTAGGCCTGTGAAGAGAAGCATAAAATTCATTTAGGTGTTGTTGACATGGACTGCTCAAGCGGATGAGTGGCTTTACACTTAGAGACAAAATATGAAATGAATATGTTCATGAACGGGTTGGTCAGGCTCCAATTATGTACAAAATAAGAGAGTCGCCTTAGATGGGTTGGTTACGTTAAGTGCCGATATCTAATGACTTTGTTAGGAGGGTAGATGCTTTAAATTTGACTTATGTTAAGAAAGGTAAAGGTAGACCTAAAAAAATTTGGGTAAGTTGTATAAAAAATGATCTTAATTATTAGAATTAAAAGAAAACATGACACTCAATAGGACACAATAAAGAAAAATGATTCATGTAGTCGAACCCATTTAGTGGGACACAAAGGCTTGTTGTGTTGTTGTTGTTAATTGGAATAAAAAATAAAAATAGTTAACCTTAGTTTAAATTGAAAATTTGAAATCTATGAATTTATAATTTTACGTGATTCTTTATGCATTTCATCCTACATGTATTTTAAAAACCCTCAATATTAGAAAGCCAACTTATCCAAAAAAGTTCATTGAAAAAAATTCAAAAATAGAAAAAGGCCACTTGATTCATATAGGAAAAGCAATTGACTAGCATAAAGATAGCAGCAGCACCTGAGCTTGGTTGTGGAATAATTGTCACATCTTCCATTATTCCCATAGTTAAAATTGTTTCTACATCTCTTCTTCCTTGAAGTAAACTATAAACCTAGAAAACAAAATTAACAAAACAAAATGTAAAATAAAATGGCATAGACAACAAGATAAAACAAAATTGTAAATATCAAACATAGTCCATCTTGACCAAGCCAAATATAATGAAATCAGATTAGTTCCAATAAAAAAGCAAATAACAATCATAAATTACTGAACTCTTCTAAAAAAAAAACAAATTACATACATAAATGCATACATTCTTACATACATACATACATACATACATACATATGTATGTGTACGTGTGTTTGTGTGTGTGTGTGTGTGTCTGTATGTGTGTGTGTGTCTGTGTGTCTGTGTGTCTATGTGTGTCTGTGTGTGTGTCTAAAGAAATGGTCAGAGGCTATGATACAAGCCTCAAGCCACGCCTAATATGCCTAAAAAATTCGAGTACCATCTCCTTAAGGCCAACAATGCCAGAGGGAATTTGAACCCCCAACCTATGGGGTTTTATACCGTGAATGCCAACCAACAGGCCGAGGCACATGACACGGGCGCGCGCGCGCGCGCGCACACACACAGATATATATATATATATATATATATATATATATATATATATGGAGTTATATGTGTTATATATAATTGAGATTATTATGCCAACTATCTTAACGGCATATTCAACTCCAACTTGTTAAAGAAGTTCCCTGGGGCTATTATTTTCTGAAAGTAACAAGAAAACATATTTCCCTATTTCCTACAAAGTGTTCAAAAGAAAACTTTTCAATAACCACAAACCTTTAGTTTGTTTCTCAAAAAAAATTAAAAGCAAAAGAAAATTATTTAATTGAATCGCCTTCTTTAAGAGCAAAAATTATGATGCGCTACACAACTAAAAATTAGCCATAGCATCATGCAAATATCACTAACCAGGAAGAATAATTAATTGAAGCAGGACGTCGTAAAAATTTACAATTAATTACTGATTTGTTCATGGTTTGAATTTCTCGTTGATCTCTTTGAATTAATTGATCCTGTATTATCGTGTTGCTTCAGCTTTCAAAAATTTTAAAGTAAACAATTGTAGAAAATTGATTTTTGTGCAGTTAGAGAGCTTCGATCTTGTGAGCCTATTTCCTATGTGAATCTGTTTAATTACATCACTTTAGTTTCACTAAAAACACAAGAACCTACAACATCTTGTATCAATTGGCACTAGAGCTTACCGTTGCATGATAACGTCAAACTAAAAATATGACAGAATATCAAGATCAAATTAAAAAAAAAATGCAATTCAAATGAAAACTTGTAAGTTATGCTGCAAGACAACTACAACATGATGATTATCATAAGATTAAAATACTACTTTTTTAAATTTGATGCGAAATATGATCTAAGAAAAATTTAAATCAGATCGATGACTTGGAAGATTTTTTTAATAAATATAATTTGATTGAGTCCCAAAGAGTTAAATGTGACAAACCAAAATTAATGAGACATACTCAATTATTTTGGCAATGTGTTCCAACTAAGTCATCGTGGGCTCATAAGAAATATAGACTTAAAAAGTAATACTTATCATTTGATAAATATAATTATCAATTGCATGGAAAAGTAAAAGATTTTAAGCAAAGTAAATATGACTTGTTTGAGCATTACAACAGGTTTGCAAGAATGTGGCTAAAAATTTTTCTTTAATTTATTATATTACTAATAGCTTTTTCACTAAATGCTGCAATCAAGAAGTTAGAGATGAAATAAGCTAGAACTCCCAATAATATTGCATAAGTCATTATATATATGCTTGAAAGTTGAAGAATGATTTACTTATTATCATAAAACTAGCACACTTATGATTAATGTCTTTAAAGAAAACTGATTACATCTCTTAGCCTATCATGCACACATCAACAAAAGAACCATGTCATGTTAAATTTGATCTGCATGAAGAGACAATAATTTATCAATATTTTTTAAGATTTTTTTAATGGGGTTGGTGAGTACTTGAGGATCAGAGGAAACGCCCTACTATTAGGTCATCATCTCAACCGCCTTTAAGGATGTTTTAGATATAAAAAATGATTTTTAGCTATAATATGAATTTACATATCATAATTTAAATCTATATATACTCCTACATTAGATCATATTCATGAACATGAATCTATACTTGATCAAAAGTGACAAATGGAGTTTGAAAATAAAATTGAGCATGAAACTTTATTTGAACTTGAACTTCTAATAGAAATCTAGTTTATTGCCGAACTTGAAATAGAACCTACCATATATATTAACCAAAGGATGGTAAATCTATAAATAGATACATCCGCTTTTTTTTTTTCAATTTTTTGTGCATGTTGTATTTGGGATTTTTATAAGCCTATTACACATGTGATAAACAACATTTGGGGAAAAATATCTATTTATATCAAAACGAGACCCAAAATTTATTCACGTTGGTGATATCTTTCCTTAAACTTGTTCTTTTTAATTATTTTGTAACTTGAATTACTAGAGTTTTTTCTCTCGTTTTTTAAATCTTTTTATTAGTCTTTATTTGGTAAATTTTGCTATAGCTAGGATGTCAATTGCATCATACTATACAAATATTGTGTGTGTGTGGTTTTAATTTCTCATTAATCCCTTGAATAAGTGAATCATTGCATTAACGTTGTTGTTAGACTTTCACATATTTTCAAGTTACATGTAAAGAAAGCTGATTTTTGTGTAATTACTGCCCTTTATCCATAAATCCATCTGTCTTTTGCATCATCAAAAACTAATCTAATTGCTATAGAAACAGTGTGGCTTCAAAATGCATGCCCAATTCTTTTACGATATTTTTAACTATAGATCCATTTCTAGAACAACAACAACAAGCCTTTATCAGGTGAATATAACTAGCCCGCCATCAATGACTAAAAATTAAATGTTCTCCTACGTGTTTGAAAAAATTTATTTTTAGGCCCATTAACATACGATTTTAATGTCCTAAAGAAATTGCTTTAAAATGAAAATTTTCAATACTATTATGCTCACAAAAAATACAATAATAAATTTGACCGACGGATCAAATCTTTAGCGTATAATGATAGAGTAGATAAGTTCTATAATAAGATGAATTTCATACAAATTCAAACTATATGCAAATCATGAATTTGATCATGCACAAGCAAAGTAGGCACAGGTCAACACGATTCAAAATAATAAAATAAAAACATTCAAATATCAGGATAATGTATAGTTGAACAAAAATCTCAATGAAAGAAGATCCTATCATCAAAAATGCCCCAAGTCCTATTTAAATCACTTATTAATCTAAATTTGAAAAACTGATACAAACACATAAGCATCAAAAATATAAAATTTAAAGCATCAAATTGAAATTTCTTGCTCCTAAGACTAAAGCAATAATTCATCCACATTATATGCACATTTGTTTAGGGTAACAAATTAAAAATTAACTTCAATTTACAAAAAAAAAATCATATCAATAGTACAATATAATTACACTCAATAGATCTCACGACATTAAATGACATTTGTTCTCTAACCATGTGATTTATTCATCAAATAGCCCACAAAAGAAGCGGTTAAGATCGGAGTTCTTTGACCAAGTGGTTCACTACAAAAAGATACCATTATATTATATCACAACCAAAACCCAAATGCTCCCTAATGGCTTAGCCCCTTCAGTCGTAAATCATTGGACGCACTTAATAAGTCACAATGTTCTCTACTAGCTAAAATCAATATAAATTATTTTCTTAGACAAACAGTCACTTTAGGTCTAAAAGTTTCTCTTCGATGAGGCAATCATAACTGCCAAAAAAATTTTCAAATCAAGTTGGGTTGATTACCAACGTTCATGATAATTCAGGCAAAAAAAACATGAGATCTTGATCAAGTTCGTGATTATTCACCTACGATCAGCTCTAAGCTAAAGACAATAATTTTTCTTAAGCATAAAATCAAGATTGTTGCTACAATGCATAAAAGCATTTAGCATCTAAAAACTAGTCTTACTCGAAAATTCTCCCTTGTTATCAAAAAAGAAAATCAACTTAAATTCTTGTGTTTATAAGAAACATATAACCAAATCTTGAAGTCCTAAAAAAATGAGAGTGCAATCAATAGATGGAGTCTTATCTAGAAATCTTATACGTCTTCTAAAAATTTAACCAAAAAAACGCTCTTAGAAGAGCCAAACACAAATTTTGAAGCACACATCAATAAATTAGAAAAAAGAAAGAATATGATATATTACTCGGACAATCCTTTAGATTGGTATGAATCAACTCTTATAAACACAATGGCTTATAAATCCGGTATCAGAAGATGCTCAATGATGTAGAGTTGGAACAAACTTAATGACTGGAACCTAGATTAAGGTTGCTTCACTGAAATTCTCCATCATGCTAGCTGAAACCCTAAAGAGAACCACTTGACCAAGTTTCTCCTTTCTAAGCTGGAACCCAGCCAAAAAAGCATGATGGAAAGCCCAAACAAAGTCAATTTCTGGGTCGACAGCAGTAAATTTTACTGGCTGCAATGCAGCAAGAAATTGGCCAACCAACCACAACACAACAACATCATTCAACCACCCATCATCATCATATCCCTTCACCTCGGGCATGCAAAACACTAACCCCGAGCACAGCCATATTGCCTGATATATATAACAACCCAAGAAGAAATCATATGTAGAACAAATTATATAGTTGGCAATGTTTCTACCTGTCCCTTCTTGGTTGTGAGTTGTCGAAGTATAGTCTCAGTTTTGGTCTTCCCTTCTGTTGGCTCACCACTTCATAAATAATAAGTATTAATAAAGGTGCTGAGGAACAGGACAATTAAAAGTTTACCATTCGAGCCAAGATGTGTTAGATGGAGTTCTCACGTTTTTCTATCAAGAAAGCGTAAGTTGATATTATTGACCTCAGCTTCAGAGACTTGTAGCTTTAGTACGCCGCCAGAAAGAATTTCAACATCTGAAACCTGAAATAATATAAAAAATAATAGCTACGGCATGCAGGTGAGCCATTATTTTATATGCGGATAAACTATTAACAATCAATTACAGCTATAATAATAATAACTATATGTTCACGCCAAAAATAATTAAGTAATGGAAATAGACGAGGGAGAAATAACCATTCCAAACAATCCACGCTCAATATACCACCCATTGATGGACTTGATAATTTTGTCCAAATGTCGTATATTGACTATTTTTCCTGCATAACTTGACACCAAAAGCTTAGATCAGCAACAGTCTAAATTATTACTACTATACTTAGGCTTTGAAAATGAAAGAAGAACAAGATTGTATGTTTCTACAATATCACAATAATGCCGCTCATATTTAGTTTCTATTCCTTTTCTTCTTAAATTTCAAAAGCAGCACACCAAGAAAAAAAGTATTTAAAAAAATTCAAAAACTAGCAAGTCAGCAAGTTTAATAAGAATAGGTAGCAAACCTTAAAGTTGACCTCAGCTTTAATATTTTACAATTAAATAAAGAGAAATTTACATAAATACCACACAATTCCAATGTTTCTACATATCTAAAAACTAAAATTTGATATTTACATTCATAACACTTAGGTATCATAAAACTATGCATGAAAAGGTGTATTAAACTTTTCAAGAGTTGGCAATAGAAGAATTTTTCATGCAATATCAAATATTCTGTGTAATGAATGTAAATATGAAAGTTTACGTGTTAGATGTGTAAATGCACAAGAATTGTATAGTATATACGTAAATATACCTCAAATAAATCATAGACTACAGTTGATGTATGTTAAGAGATTCCTGTAAAGTTAGGCATAAGAAGTCCACAGTTGTCTTTTGATATCCATAATTTACATTCATAAACTCCATAATGAGATCATATTGTCAAATTCTGCTTGAATCAATTTTACATGTTAAAGTAAGTGCATGGAGAAGATCATATAAAAATAAGAAAAAATAAAACTTTAAGGTATCAAGCAATATATATCATCAACAGGCCTACCATATCCATCACGAAATGCATCCTCCAAGAATTTTGAGGGAAGAACATTTGCTCCTTCACACACTAAACCATGAAACTCTTGATTAGGTTCAACCTAAAAAATAGCAAATAAACTGTATCAAATATTGTGATCAGAAGTTCACCCTACAATAATACTAGACAATGTAATACCAAATTACAATCAGAAAAAAGGTAAGACAACTACCATAGCTGGCACAATACTTATAATTGTAGCTATAATAGCTAAAAATGGTCCAGTGCAAGCATAAAGTTATTTTTTAATTTTGGAATCATATTTATTTGTATTTAAATGTCGATTAAGGCTTATTCTTTTTCGTTGGAAATGTAAGGAGGTTCCAAGGTTAAGGCAAACAAAAACCACAACTGATAAAATAACATACTTTCAAACTAGAAAAAAAAAGATGCGAGAGAACTGATAGCAACAAAATCAACAGTAACAAGTCTTTTATCCCATTAAGTGGGGTCGGCTAAATGAACCATTTTTCTCCATTATGTCCTAATGAGTGTCATGTTTTCATTTAATTCTAATAATTAGGATCGTTTATAATACAACACGCCCGGGTCTTTTTTATGTCAACCTCTACATTTGTAAACATAATTTGAATCTAGAACAGCTACTCTCCTAACCGGGTCATCAGATGGTCACGAATAAAAGCACAGCAGAAGCCAAACCAAAATTGCAAGAATCCAGTAAATAAATAATAAAAAATACAAGAAGATGCGTAAGCAGAATCAGATTAGTTCACGAGCAATTTTTAAAATTTCTCTACTTTTTCTATTGTGCAAATAGAAAAGTGTTTACATCTAAAGTGCGAAAGAGCATACCAAAAATATATAGAATGGAGAGAAAAAAGGACAACTAAGGTTAAGTTTACAAAACAAAGACAAGCAACAAAGTAAGAGTTTTATAGGTGAATTTAAAAAAACTGCAAGTAGAAATGCTCAATTCATGTACTATAGTAGAAGGTTGATGCAACACTTGTATAGTGTCTGACAAGCCAGCTAGTAGTAATATTCCCAACATTATGGCGGCTAAATGGTTTTGGAATTCAACTACCATAGCCATGACCTAGAATTTCGATCAAAAAATGGTAATCCACAATCACTTAAGTGGAAAAATAGGCCAAATTAAAAAAGTCATACCCTACATTCAAACACAATTCTACCACTAGTCAGCCCTTCCACGTATGGGGTGCTTGGCAAATGTCAAATTAGTATTATTCATTATTGGCTAAATATGATATGTATGATTCAACAAATAACTAATCTGAACCATTTCAATTTTTAAGTGGCAATTAGAAGAAAGAGGATTACTAATAAATGCAATTAAAAAGTGAATAATTGACTCAATATTTACCACAATTTCCTTCATTATGTCTAAACTTTCTAAAAATAATAAATAATAAAATATTTTAATTAAAATAAGTTCTCACATCTTCAAAACATGATCGATATTACAAAAATATAGAACAGTATACATACATTTTTTATTTTAATTCAAAAACTGTCTGCCGCCATTAATTATTGCCCTTTTGGTAGTTGCTTTGATATGCTTTAATATAAGCAATAAATGTAGCAACTTTTTGAGAAATTTAGCGTTAAAAATTTTCTCATAATCATGTGATAAATTAAGAATTTTGATTAAATGAATTTATTAATTTAAAAACAAAAAAAAAGTGTGATGCTTGAGAAACTAATAAGTATTTCTAAGACTATATATATGCCTAGACTATCATTTGGTTCATGTATGATCTTCTACAATAACAAAGATGGATTGATACCATATTGATGGTGTATAAGCAGCTTGCTCTTAATTTCATTCATGGTTAAGTTTTATGATATGTTTGTATGTAGTAATCTATAAGCTATCTATTATTATTTAATGTATTTTTATCACTTAAGAATTAAATTGGCATCTTTAAAATGTAATCCTGTCATTTTGAGTAAGGATTAACGAAATATTTTGAATTATGGTTCAATGGAGTTTTAACCTCTCACGGATGCATGGGTATTTGTATCACTTTCGTCATGCTTGGAGGATTCAATGCCTTTCCTAGCTTCAATAGCCTGGATTTCTTAAGAATCAAGATCAACATTTTTAAGATTCATTGTGCATCTTTCTTTTCTCCAAAACCTTTACTCTCTTTCCTTACAATTCCCTATGTTATCATATTTTGGTGACCCGCCCTTATTCAAATTGTTGCCATGGCTAAAATCAAACATTTTTAGGACTTAATTTAAGCACTTTAATGCAATCATTCAGTTACATTCATCAATTTCAAGTAATTGTGTGTCAACATCACTTTTTTTTTATTACCCTCGTAGATCCTTTATCCCTCCTAATTATTTTGCTCTCACTTGCAAACAGAAAATAAGAAGAAGAGGAAGAAGAAACACCTATCATACTCTAGCTGCCACCACAATTCCCTTCTTTCTTCCGCCTCATAAAATTTCTCACCAAATCCTAAAACTCCTCAAAAAATTCAAAAAATCTAAATTTAAATTGAAAATTCAATTACAATCAAATACTTAAAATATTCCTTAAATTTCTCCGCTAAACTAAATTAGCCGCCTAATTTAATTCCAACCCATCCTAATCCTATATTTTTTTATACCATAACATCCCAAAAACAAAGCTTCCACAAATTCATTACTCAACCTCAAAGCAAAATAACTTTTGAATAATCCTTAGCTTGGTTGTAATTGTTCGATTGAGAAGCTAGCTCCCCTCCAAATTATGCAAAGCTTGGCATGAATTCCAAGAAGTCGTGGTCTTCCCACAACATATTATGGCATATGATCTCTGCCATTCAATTTCTATAGCAACCATGACATTTATTTTTACTGCTTCCTTATATTTTTAAGGCTTCCTTATCATAGACTTGGCAAGCTTATTTGATCAAGTTTACATGGCTATTTTCATGATTTGTTTTGGTTTAGATTAGGGAATTGTTTTCATTACTTTCCTTTAAACCATCTTTGACAGTTTTATTTTCTGCTTTAAGGATGCTCCCCTTTTACTGGAATTTGTCCCGCTGTGAACAAAAAGAGATCCATAGCTTTGAAAACTATGAAGGATGGGCAAGTCATGATAATGGAAAAGAAGTTAATAATCATTGCCCATGGTTTCCCTTAGAAAGTGAACCAACTGCAACTTCTGATTTGGTATTACTGCTGTATGGGGCGATTTAAACTTGTATGAGCACTGTGTGAAGGCTTATGGTTGAGAGCTATTTTGAAAGTGTTGTCTAGGGTTTATATGGGTATGGTTTGAAGGTTTTAGAAATGCTGATTTGGAGTGTTTTAGAGTGTTATTTAGAGTGCTATTGGGTGCTAATGTTGGAATTAATGTTTAGGTGTTGTTTGAAGCTGCCAATCGCTGTAGAAATGTTGGAATTAATGTTTAGGTGTTGTTTGAAGCTGCCAATCGCTGTAGAAAACTTAGAATTAATGTTTAGGTGTTGTTTGAAGTTGTCAATCGCTGTAGGAAGTTGTAGGAAGAGTCTAGGTTGTTCTTTGGAGTCATCAATTGCTGTTGAATGCTGTAGGAAGCGTTAAAGTTGTTGTTTGGGGCGATTTAAGCTCGTATAAGCGTTGTTTGAAGGCTTATGGGCTGCATTTATTGGGTCCGTCTAGCGGCTTAGTCGTTACGTTTCTTGATTCCATCTCGTGGTTTTTGGTCTCGCGCTTTTCTAAATTTATTTGATGACTTTTGACCTCTCTTTTCCTAGTGAATCGGAGAAATGTTAGGCCGATTTACTTATTGTTTTTCCCTCTTTTCGGCTTTTGCTAGTTTTGGAAATGGGTCGGCCTTCTTCTTTTATTTTATTTATTTTTAAATAGTTAAGTCATAAAGATGGAGATTGATGATTTAATTAGTTGGAAGATATAGAAAACCTTAAATCACCTTAAGCATAAGTTAGAGAGTAGGCTTTCTAGAGTTTTAGGAGCACACCCTAGGTGAGAGCCCATCCACCTAGTCATCAGTGTAGGCTTCCTAGAGCTTAGGCACACACCCTAGGTGAGAGTCCATTCACCTAGCCCTCAATGTAGGCTTCCTAGACTTTAGGTGCACACTATGGGTGAGAGCCAATCCACCTAATCCTCAGTGTAGGTTTCCTGGACTTTAGGAGCACACCCTAGGTGAGAGCTCATCTACCTAATCTCTGCAATGTAACCTCCCAAGGTTTTAGGAGCATACCCTAAGTAAGATTCCATTCACCTAATCCTCGAATGCACAGTGAAACTAGACACTTGACCCTAATTCACAAACTGACTAAGACACTAGACATGATGCACCGAGATGTGACTCATGCTTCCTTAATTAAATCAATAGTGGAATTCCCGTCATAACTTAACCTATAGTGAAACCCAATGCACCGGGATTTGAGTTTGGATATTAACTCAAGTCCTTCTAGCAATTGGGGAAATTTGTTAATGTCACATATGGATCATCGGACTAGGATATGTCTAGGGTCTAAGTGGTGAGGGCAATGACGACATTGCTTATGTGTGCTTAAACGAGGGATACGAAGTGGGATTATTAGAATAGTATCTCCTACCTCAAGGATCTTCAATAAGGGAGAGGAAAGGATCCATGATACTATTCGCCGATTCTTGGTGGAATCGTTTCCCCCGACATTCTTAGGGTGTCAGTAGTTCTAGCACGATTAGAGTGACTAACCTGTGGACTATATGACTTTACAAAAATATTTATGAAAATAAAACAAAATCCATTTTGCATGTTAAAAAGAACTCTGCATAAAAAAGACTTAGACAACAACTTTTTCATGAAAATCAAACAATTTTTCTATGAAAATTTATAAAAGTCCATGGTTAGTCATTTGGATTGAGGTTAAGAACTACCTCCTGTAGATTGTCGAGTTGGCAACTCTTACTCAAGCACACAGCCCAACACTGAGCCCCCACTTTTACCAATGTCTTATACCTAGTCCTGAGCTGTCATATGTGGTTACAAGTTTCTTTTGCTCGTGATTTCTACTGCTCGTTTTTTATGACTTTCATGCTGGGTTTTGGGTTTTCTTGCCTTATTTCTTGCCTTATTTATTTTTC